GGGGAGAAAATGTGTGACTGTTACGGCTTGTGTGTGTGTGTGTGTGTGTGTGTGTGTGTGTGTGTGTGTGCTCTGCCCTCACTGAGCCCCCCCAGCAGCAGACTGAGCTGAGCTGACCGGTCGTGGGAGTTGCTCTCTTTCTTTGAAAATGCAGCAAAGCGGACCTCTGCCAGGTTCTCTCAGCTGTATGCAGTATTGATGGAGTTGCTGAGGGGATGCTAACACAGCATGAATCCTCACCGTCCTCCCACCCCTCCTCCTCTCCTGCCCTGTGCCTAGATTCCCTCTCTCCCTTTCAGCTGCTTGTTGTTCTCTTTAGACCCTATCTGCTTCCCTTTTAGATGTCAAAGAACCTGACTCGTCAGTTAAACCTGATGAAAGATTTGAGGGGAGTCTGTCCTCTCTGCACTGCATGCTGACTTCCCACTTTTTTGGTACTGCCTGATTTTTTTTAAACATGCATCATTGTGTTTCTGCAATAACGTCAGCTAATAAAACCTCACAATGACACCAGAACACATGAAAGCACGGCTGTGAGACAACACTTTTGCTGCACTTCTTTCCGTAGAATCAGCAGAGGGAGAGAAAGAGCCTAAGTGCAGTTGTTGTAGTAAATCCCAGGTTCAATGGAATAAGATTAAAAACGGTATATTGCGTCTTATAAGCTATTTCATTCCTTTACTTTCCTAGAAACTGTACCATGTTTTAAATATCTGCAGGGACAAGGTCAGCCACCTCAGAACTGCAGATTCTGTTCTATGAAAATGATGATTACAGCAGTACAGAAGAGGATTCTTATAGGTGCTCAGTAAAAAAGGATTCTAAATGGTGCAGTTCAAACACGTTTACTCTAAAACCAGGTCCATACTCAATGTAAGTAAGTAAGTAAGTAAAATTTTATCTATGGAGCGCCTTTCACAGAAATAAAATTCACAAGATGCTGTACAATAATCATTAATATAAAAAGAGTTGATTGGTAGCAGGTGCTGTACAATAAACGAACACAAATAGAAAGAGCTCTCTCAAGACCTTCACAACCTTAGTGTTGCAAAGCATAATGATGGCATCGGTTACAGAAGAAA